GCAGGCTGCTTTTCCGGAAAAGCCCTTTTTCCGGAAAAGCATCTGTGGCCAATGTAGATGCGCTTTTCCGGAAAAGAGCCCCGATCGTCATTTTCTCGATCGAGGCTTTTTTCCGGAAAAGAATACTGGGCTGTCTACACTGGCCCTTTTCCAGAACAGTTTTCCGGAAAAAGGACTTTTGCCCGAGCGGGAGCAGCATAGTCTTTCCGGAAAAGCAGCTGATTTCTTACAGTAAATTGTCACTGCTTTTCCGGAAATTCAAGGGGCCAGTGTAGACAGCTCGCAGCTTATTCTGGAAAAGCGGCTGCTTTTCCGGAATAAGTGGCCCAGTGTAGACACAGCCATGGAGAAAGGCTTCACGCATCCCAAACAGCCCTTGACTGCTTTATAAGCTGAGAGGAGGGAGGCATTACCAATGCTGCCACCTAAAACCCAGATCTCTCCCCTCTCTGCATGAGTGTCTCAGGACTTACCTGGGGACACCAGGAGGAGCACGGTTTGGCCGAGATGGAACTTGAGGGGGGGGTCCAAAAGGATCAGGGGAAGCACCTGGCCTGGAGGGCACAGGGGGAGCACCACCCAGGGTGGGTCCACCAGCAGGAGGAGGTCCAGGAGCTGGACCTCGAGATCCAGGCCTGGCTGGTGGAACCGCAGGAGCTCTCCTCTGTGGTGTAGGGCTGGAGGTGGGAGACCTACAAAAGAAACCAAAAGGAGTTCACCTGCAGCAACAGGCGTGTCCAGTATCTCTCCAAAACCCACATGCTCTCTAGCCCTCCCATCACCTCCCAGAGCCCTTCAATCCTTCTGTTTACCTTCGAGACGCCTCCAACCTCCATGTCACCCTCAAGAGTCTGACAGCCTAATTCACCTATACAAGCTCTAAAAGCTCTTATGTAATTTTCAAGGCCTCAACAATGTGCACATAAATTTTAAATACCCCAGAATCTTCAGCATCCATTAGCCTTCATATTCTAGCAGGAGGCCCCATCTAGCCCCTAAAGAGGCATCAGGCAGGTCTGTGGGGCACTCCCCCTGAGCCTCTGATACCTGCGTCCAGATGGTATGTTCTGCACCTGCAGCCAGGAGTCGTCCACCGGCGGGGGCATAGGGGTGCTGATGGTGGTGGTGTTAATGTCCCCAGTGATGTTGAGTGCCTCCTTCAGAGCATGATACATGCGGAGCATCTCATCACGCCGCTGGGCCTGCTCTGATGACTCTTCCATGAGGGTATTTTGGTCTCCACAGGAGTAGAGGTTTGCTAGCAACTCCGAATGGATAAAATCCTTTGTCTGTAACCATAGCAGAAAGAACAGGAAATCACACCCATCAAAGCCTCCATCTGAATCATCTTCCCACCAACACCCTCTTTCTCATTCCCCTCCCCATTTAGTCTCTGTCTCCCATTCTCTCCTCCCCTCCTCTCTCTCTTTCACCTCTTTTCTGCTAGTCCACCCATATTTCTCTCTCTTTCATCTTTTATTCTTCTATCCATGTCTTTCACTCCTTCTTCTCTTATCTGTCTAGTTCTCCCACAGTTCCCAATGGGCTAAGCAGGGGGACATGTACATTATTTATCATGAGATGCATGATGGTCTTAGGCATGAGGTCTCGGATAGTTTTGTTGACAATTCCCATGTAGGAGTCCACCAGGTTCCTGATTGTTTCAACTTGTCTCTCCAGTTGGGGGTCCATAGAGTGCATGAAACTGTCAGATCCATTTTCCTCTGATTCACTTGTCTACAGTGGGAAAGCAAAAGGGAGAAACAGCAGTTGGATAGAGACAGATAAATTCTTTAATATACCATAAGGGTCAAAAGGCAAATGCGACACAGCTCAGGAGGCATGGGGGAAACTTCATGAAGCAACATGAGATACAGCTCAACTTTTCTTCTGAACAGTAACTCCCAATGCAGTACTCAGCTTGTATAACTAGGTTAACCTTCCCCAGCTCAACTTAGAGGAAGGGCCGTGAATGTGATTTCCATGTTAGTGCAAGTCTGCCCTACCTCTCTACATTACAGTTGGTTATTGGAGAAATGGCAGAGCCAGTTTACTCACAAGTTGTTCTTTAGTAGCATGCTGCCCTTCTTACATTTTTGTCATCAGCTGTCATGCATGTGAACAAAAGTGTACCCAGAATGTGTGCAAGAGCATGAACACAAATGCATTAGTTTGTGTGCAGGTGTGGCTGAACTCAAATGCACCTGAATTTCTGCAGGGTCAGGTATACACAACTGTATCAATATGTGTGCACAAAATGATCTCCAATCCACTGATTGGAGTGGGGGGAGGCAGGATAAGTGAATGTAAACACACCAGTGTGTATGCAAGGATAGGTGAATATAAAATGCACCACAATACTATCACTGAGGCCATGTATGTATGGAATTGCAGCTAGCAAGGGATGTGAAGGATAACATGAAAGATTTCTATAGGCATGTTAGCAATAAGAATGTCATCGGAGAGGGTATGGGGCCCTTACTGGATGAGGGAGGTAACTTAGGGTGTGTCTAGACTACATGGCTCCGTTGACAAAGATGAGTTTACTAGACATAGCAAAATGAAGTGGCGATTTAAATAATCGCGGCTTCATTTACATCAAAAAGGCCGCCGCGCTGTGCCGACGATCAGCTGATCGGCACAGCGGGGTTAGTCTAGATGTACCGCAGTCGACAAGGCAAGCCTTTGTCGACTGCTCCGGTAAACCTTGTTTCATGAGGCATACCAGAGCGGACGACAAAGGCTTCCCTTGTAGACCACGGCGCATCTAGACAGCCCCACTGTGCCGATCAGCTGATCGTCAGCACAGCCCGGCGGCCATTTTGATGTAAATGAAGCGGCGATTATTTAAATTGCCGCTTCATTTTGCTATGTCTAGTAAACTCATCTACATGGCTCCGTCGATGGAGTCATGTAGTCTAGACATACCCCTAGTGACAGATGATGTGGGAAAAGCTGAAGTACTCAATGCTTTCTTTGCCTCTGTCTTCACGGACAAGGTCAGCTCCTAGACTAATGCACTAGGCAACGCTGTAAGGGAAGGAGGTGGACAGCCCTTGGTGGGGAAAGAACAGGTTAGGAACTATTTAGAAAAGCTAAACACACACAAATCCATGGGCCCAGATTTAATGCATCCAAAGATACTGAGGGAGTTGGCAAATGTCATTGTGGAGCCTTTGGCTATTATCTTTGAAAACTTGTGGTGATCGGGAGAGATCCTGGATGACTGGAAAAAGGCAAATATAGTGCCTATCTTTAAAAAAGGGAAGAAGGACGATCCAGGGAACTACAGACCAGTCAGTCTTACCTTAGTCCCTGGAAAAATCATGGAGGGGATCCTCAAGGAATCCATTTTGAAGCACTTGGAAGAGGGGAAAGTGTTCAGGAATAGTCAACATGGATTCATGAAGGGCAAGTCATGCCTGACCAATCTGATTAGCTTCTATGAAGAGGTAACTGGCTCTGTGGATATGGGAAAGTCAGTAGATGTGATATATCTTCACTTTAGCAAAGCCTTTGGTACGGTCTCCCATAATATTCTTGCCAGCAAGTTAAGGGAAGATGGACTGGATAAATGGACTGTAATATGGATAGGAAGCTGGCTAGACTCTTGGGCCCAAAGGGTAGAGATCAACGGCTCAATGTCAGTTTGGCGGTCGGTTTATAGCGGAGTGCTCCGAGGATCTGTTCTTGGTCCGGTTTTGTTTAACATTTTTATTAATGACCTGGATGAGGGGATGGATGGCACCCTCAGCAAGTTTGCAGATAACACTAAGCTAGGGGGAGAGGTAGATACGCTGGAGGGCAGGGATAGCGTCCAGAGTGACCTGGACAGATTAGAGGACAAAAGAAATCTGATGAGCTTCAACAAGGACAAGTGTTGAGTCCTGCACTTGGGATGGAAAAATCCCAAGCATTGTTACAAGCTGGGGACTGAATGGCTAAGGAGCAGTTCTGCAGAAAAGGACCTGGGGATTACAGTGGATGAGAAGCTGGATATGAGTCAGCAATGTGCCCTTGTAGTCAAGAAGGCTAATGGCATATTGGAGTGCATTAGGAGGAGCATTGCCAGCAGCTCCAGGGAAGTGATTATTCCCCTTTATTCAGCTCTGTTGAGGCCACATCTGGAGTACTGTGTCCAGTTCTGGGCCCCTCACTATAGAAAGGATACGGACGCATTGGAGAGGGTCCAGCGGAGGGCAACCAAAATGATTAGGGGGCTGGAGCGCATGATCTATGAGGAGCAACTGAGGGATTTGGGTTTGTTTAGTCAGCAGAAGAGAAGAATGAGGGGGGATTTGATAGCAGCCTCCTGATGGGAGGTTCCAAAGAGGATGGAGAGAGGCTGTTCACAGTAGTGACGGATGGCAGAACAAGAAGCAATGGTCTCAAGTTACAGTGGGAGAGGTCCAGGTTGGATATTAGGAAAAACTATTTCACTAGGAGGGTGGCGAAGCACTGAAATGGGTTCCCTAGGGAGGTGGCGGAATCTCCATCCCTAGAGGTTTTTAAGTCTCAACTTGACAAAGCCCTGGCTGGGTTGATTTAGTTGGGGTTGGTCCTGCCTTGGGCAGGGAGCTGGACTTGATGGCCTCCTGAGGTCTCTTCCAGCTCTATGATTCTATGATCTGTATGTATTCATGCTTGTACCTTTCAGAATGCCTATGTAGACTGATTCACAATGACTAGGAGACTGACCACTGGGAACAGTGTTAGGATTCTAGACCTATCAACCAGCTCTGGCTGACTCAAATAGTCATTGTAATTAGGATTGGGGAGTGAAGATGCAATTTATAAAACTCTTTAGTGTTGCCTAGCATCTGTCTATCCATCTAGGTATCTAATGTGCCCATCTGTGGGGTTTCTGGGTGATAGTGGTGGTTATAGGAGCAGTGACAGTTAAATAAAAGTGTGCTCAGTCTTGAAGTTGTAGTGTGAAGGCACCATTTGCAGCTGCTACAAAGGAGAGAAGGAAGAGGGTAGCTTGCTTGCAAGCAGGAAGAAATAACCCCTAATGAAAATGAGAGTGAGCTGCCTGCTTGGACTGGCTGCTATGCCAAGTTTTACCTTGATGGAAGGAAGGACAACTAGGTGGAGTATTCAAATGTGATAGTAAAAAATAATCAGGCTTCTGGACAAGATCTCCACTGTGGGAAATGTTTTAAAAATTGATTATGTGAAGTGGGATTTATTAATCAAAAGGCTAATGCAAGCTCTTCATTTTCCTTGCCAAGTCTTTTCCCTCAAAAGTCCATACAGAGATTAGTCCATGTATTATAACAATTGGTATAAATATTTTAACATTAATACCTTACACATCTATAGTGGCTTTTACCTCAACGGATCCCAAAATGCTTTAGGAAGTCTGAACCTGAGCTTGCAACTCTTGGTCATGTCAGCAGTCATGTAAGTAGTTCTACTGATTTCAGTGAGAACACTCACATGTGACATAATGGTTAATTTTGTGTTGTTCTGCACCTAGTGTATATACTGTGATTGTCCTATAAGACCACTCAGATTTGGTAGCATTTTACATTCACTTCACATTCACTTGGTAAGCTTGTAAAAGACTAGAAAAAGTGCAGGGCAATGGAGAATAAAGACATTGAGATTTGTATTATTCACTAGTTAAAGTTCTTTTGGGACATTCTCTATAACCTCCTGTTTTCATATGTTTATAACTTTAGAAAAATTCTCCATCTGGGCTGAAATGTTTCTTGTCTGAGCTCAACTCAGCTCTAAGGACTAACAAACATTAATTAATCCTCACAACCCCTTAGAGAAATAAGAGAGCCTCATTCCTACTACACAGTGGAGAAACTGAGGCACATAGTGAGGCCATATAACAAAGGAACAGTCTGGGGAGGGAGGGAGACAGAGGGGGAGGAGAAAGAAAGAAAGAAAGAAAGAAAGAAAGAAAGAAAGAAAGAAAGAAAGAAAGAAAGAAAGAAAGAAAGAAAGAAAGAAAGAAAGAAAGAAAGCACTTATAACTGAAATACAGTATATAGTTATCTCTAGAATTAAATCTGGTAACCAATAGTGCACAACACAATAGCACACCTGCCAAGACTCATCCATTAGGTATTTATTTTAAGGCAGCTTTCAAAGCATGAAGGATTTTGTTGTGTGTGTTTCAATATGCTATTTAAAATGTTACTGATTTTATTTTTAAATTTCCCTCACTGACACTATCTAATTTTGATAGACTTGCAGCAGGTTGGGACATAAAGTGAAGCACAATATTGTCTACAATTTAGGTTAAAACAATTCAGCAAGAAAGGGGAAATGTTCTTTTCTCTGTTTCCCCCGGGGATTTTTTGTTCTAGCTTCAGTTGAAAGGATCGTATGTATCCTCAAAGGGGTGGAAGGCTTCATGGTCTGAGAAACATGTGGTTAGAAAGGTGGAAATCAGACATGACAAACACACAAAAAAAGAGGATAAAATGCCAGAAATGAAGTTCTGATGCGATTCAGAAATCAAAAACCAAAGAGGGGGAATAAAAAGAGAAAAAGGAAAACCTAAGCCAAGAACAGAAACAAACAGCAGATGATCTGACAGGAGGTACAAAGACAGAAGAAGACTGAGTGATTGCCTCCCAGGAGATGATGATGATGAAGGGGTGAAAAAAGAGAAATAAACTGAAAAAAGAAAATCAAGCAAATCAGAACTAGCTGATAAGAGCCCCCAAAGGGCAGTACAGGCAGAAGGGATGTCACTTACTTTGTCCTTGTCCTGGCAGGTCAGTTTGAGCACAAAAAAACAAAAAGAAAAACAAAAAAGTGACAAAAATAAAAAAAAACAGATTTTAGTTGGTCTTAAAGACAGGAGAAGCATCTATTACAACATTGAATGGAATAAGACCAAACCCAATAAAAAATACAGGTCAAAGGGACTAAATCACTCTGGGTCACAGAGGCTGAGTGGGTCATTAACTAAATTGAAATTATCAAAATGGAACCCCTGCAATAGATAATGGCTCATTAAAGATGGATGCTCTTGTTACTCTCTCCTCATATGGGGTCTTGTGCCAAAGTGTTGGACAGAGACCACAACAGCTACATAACAGCAAAAATATCCCAAATCTTTCCATTGCTTCAACAGTAGGTGAAGTCATTGGACTTCCATTAACTTCAGTGATTTTGGATATAGTCTAATGCCCCCTTAACCCTCAGATCCTTTCCCATCAAATGGCTATAGGATAAAATCAAGGTACTCATGACAAAACAATGATCTTCAAGGTTAGCAGAGAAGGTGAATGAGCCAATACCAGAAACACAACTGTCTGAAAAAAGACAGGTAAGTAATTTTCACTGCTGTAATAGGTAAGTATTTACAATGACTTTTATCACAGTCAGAGACTTAAAAGTTTCAGGGATGTCTCTAGTTCTATGCTATCATAGAATCATAGAATACTAGGACTGGAAGGGACCTCGAGAGGTCATCGAGTCCAGTCCCCTGCCCTTATGGCAGGACCAAATACTGTCTAGACCGTCCCTGATAGACATTTATCTCACCTACTCTTAAATATCTCCAGAGATGGAGATTCCACAACCTCCCTGGGCAATTTATTCCAGTGTTTGACCACCCTGACAGTTAGGAACTTTTTCCTAATGTCCAATCTAAACCTCCCTTGCTGCAGTTTAAGCCCACTGCTTCTTTTTCTATCCTCAGAGGCCAAGATGAACAAGTTTTCGCCCTCCTCCTTATGACACCCTTTTAGATACCTGAAAACTGCTATCATGTCCCCCCTCAGTCTTCTCTATTCTATGCTAAACAAACCCAATTCTTTCAGTCTTCCCTCATAGGTCATGTTCTCTAGACCTTTAATCATTCTTGTTGCTCTTCTCTGGACCCTCTCCAATTTCTCCACATCTTTATTGAAATGAGGTGCCCAGAACTGGACACAATACTCCAACTGAGGCCTAATCAGCGCAGAGTAGAGTGGAAGAATGACTTCTCATGTCTTGCTCACAACACACCTGTTAATGCATCCCAGAATCATGTATGCTTTTTTTGCAACAGCATCACACTGCTGACTCATATTCAGCTTGTGGTCCACTATAACCCCTAGATCCCTTTCTGCCATATGCTATGTAATAGTACTTCTGCTTTAATGGTATTTTCTTGAGAGAACATAACATTAGTCATTAAAGGATTGCAGGAAAATGTCAAGAAAATACATTAGGTCATATCCTACATATTTAAAACAAGGGACATTTCTACAGTAGAGAAACAAGATATTTAACAAGCAAAACATTAAAACAATTCCTGATAGGAGAACTCAGGCCTGGCAAAGCTGATGGATAGAGCCCTGCAAGTCCACTTTATATCCGCAGGTATCAGCATCCGCAGATGTGGATTCGGAGATCCACAGCTCATTTTTGCAGCTATGGATGTGCAGATGCAAATTTTGTATATAGAACCTTCAAATTTGTGGATATCCATTTTATATCCACATCCGCGGATGTCAATGAGGATATCTGATTTATATCTGCATCTGCAGATGTCAATGTGGATATCTGTGGCTCATTTTTGCAGATATAGATATAAATGTGGATACAAATTTTGTAGCCACGAAGGTTTCATTGATGGAGCTGCAAACTTGGCCATAGAGAAAAGGGACTGATAAGTAATAACACTGGCCTCTATTTTGGAGTTTCTTGCCATGTAGGGGTGAGATGGTTAAAAACTTTCAGATGATTGTACTACTGGCCACTCCCTTATCCCTTGCACTGAAGCACATTTCCCAAGAATGTGGAGCAATGGAAATGCCTTCAGCAAGGGTTGATTGTAACATTTGCATTTCTCCTCATCCCTCCTGAGAAGAGTTTACACTGGAGAGCTGAGCAACTTTCCCAGTCTGTCTGAGAAATCTCATGTAACTGGATTTACAGCCCATAGGAAGGATAAAAGCCAGAGGGTTTATTTTTGAGGTCCACCCCCTACCTCCACCTTATAGTTACTGATGGTTTTATGCTGTGCATCCTCATCAAAGGAAGTAGTATCACACATCAGAGGAGACTAAGAATAAGAAGTTCAGCCTGACTTCCAACTCTAACCTATAGCAGGAGGTAATGGAGAAAAGACTCTCACAAAAGCATCCTCTTCAACTAAAGGAGCAATAGTTCAGTGATTGCTCCTAAGAAAAGTGTGCCACCCTTTCCTCATATCCTGTTATTGCTGATGGTCAAGCCCCCAACCTACCCCAACACGCTCTGGGTACACTCCTGCACGCAGGAAGGAAGCCTTCCAGCTATCCACCTCCTCCTGAGTCTCACAGGCCAACTCCAGCTGTCGATAGTCTTTGTAAACATTCCTAAGAAGTGAGACATAAGACATGTTACTTCAACTCTCCCCACATGGCAAAGCAACCTCTTCATCTCTGTCAAAGTTCTAAAATCATTAGTGTGTCTGCCTCAGTTACAAAGTAGACTATCTTCACACTGCCTGCTAATACCCTAATGTCTCTCCTGCACTGGAGCACCCTATGAAAAAGTGAGAGGGTGAATTAATTCTCCATTATTAACCTTAGCTTTCCTCACTCTAATCCCCCAGCAGACCCCAACCTTGTCCTGAAGAGACCACTCTTGGGAGGTGTGAGAGAAGATTGCCTTTCCAAACACTTTCAGTCATGTATTTTTTCACCCCACACTCTGGGCTTATGAATTACCGGGACTGACTTTATTGTCCAACTGAAAAAAGCAAGATGGGTTGTGACATAGTGGGGAAAGTATTCACTGTTTGCTTTGTTATGCTGTATGTGATTCCTACTGTCCTGTGGCTGCTTTGTAGTGACTGTGTGTGTGAGCCCGTCACCTGACCCTAGGGCGGAAGATGCAACCAGTAACAGTCAGATAACACCTTGGGCCCAGGAAGCAGGACAAAGAAGGCGGGGCTGCCTAGAGGGCTGGGACCAGTTGCTGGGTGTGTGAGTTTAGTTTTTCAGCTGGCCTAGGGAGAGGGGAGTCTAGCTGGCTTAGGGAGCTGGCTAGACTATCCCCAGGATGGATTGTACTGAATGCTCCTGATTCCTGTAATAACAAGTCTGTGCTACGCTGTGTCCCTGTCAACGAATAAACCTTCTGTTCTACTTGCTGTCTGAGAGTCACATCTGACTGCGGATAGGGGTGCAGGGCCCAGTGGCTCCGTGACAATGGGTACAAATAATTGCAATCTAGCCCTGGCAGAGATCCCTGGGGATAGGCAGTCTGGCTAGGTGAAAGCCAGGATCGTACTGCACAATGCACCGCAGAAAAAAAAGTAAGTGTCATGATAATAAGAGCATAAGGAAGGATTCCAGAGTCTTTCCTTTTAAAAGGGGTTTTCTCCTAATGACTTTCCTCTAAGGAGATGCCCAGCCTATCAGGACAACATTCCTTGAGAGGTCCCATCTCTCTCCTCCCTCTCGTCCGTCACCTGCTATTCCATTCCAAGGTGTCCCAAAGATACTGTACAGGGCTGAAGTTAGAGATGTGATATAAGTGATATCTAGGAAAGAGCTTGGCATGTTCTTAGGAAAAGACAGCACCTCTGTTCAGTGTTGAAGAGAGCAAAGATATGCTTGCTGGACATGAAGCCCTTCTCAACATCCCGCAGCTTCAGGTTATCCACTGGCAGCATGTACTTCTTTTCTTTCTCCTGAAAGAAGAAGATCAGCAACTGGTCATTCACTGCCATTGACGAAATCCTCATGTGGTGATAGAGTCAGTTAGCAGTGGGATCCTCAAAGCTCTCTCTCCTATTCTCTCAAGAACTCAAAGAGAAATGGGTCCTTTACAGCTCAATTCCCCTACCTCTTCCAGAAGTCCACCAGCAAGGGGGCCTTCACAATCCAGCCTAGGGATGTAAAGGAGTAGTTGACTAGTTGACTACCTGATAAGCCTATGCTTTTTGGGTAGTTGAGTCAACTACTCTCATCCCCCCCTTGCTGCCTCTGTATCAGAGGCAGCAAGGGGTGGGGGAAGCAGGAGCCAGTGCTGAAGGGAGCTGACTTAAAAGTCTCTGCGGTGCCACCCCACCCTCCACTGCTGCCTCTATCAGAGGCGGAGGGGTGGAGGCAGCTGCCGCGAAGCAGCTCCTGTCTGCCACGACCTGGCCACAGACAGGGGCTGCTTCGTGGCAGCACTCCCTGTGCACGGGACAGGTCCCAAATCCCCACTAGGACCTCCACACACCGGGGCTGCTGCCAGCTGGGCAGGCAGCCTGACTCAGTTCCAGCTTGCGTCAGGTGCAGGACAAAACCCCGCTGCAGCTTTGCAATTTAAAAGGTAGTAGGCACTTCCCAGCTCTTACTGCCTTTTCAATTGCAGAGCCAAAGCGGGGTTTGGTCCCACACCAGGCATGAGCCAGAACTGAGCCAGGCTGCCTATAGACTAACTGAGTAGTCGATAAAAATTCTATCGACTACTGGATTAGTTAAATACCTGCATTTTAACATCCCTAATCCATTCCCCAGAATTTGATGGCCGTACCCCCACAAGCAGTCATTCAGCAATGGGACCCTCACAGCCCACCTTCCCCATCCTTTTCAGGAGTCAGTCAGCAAGGAGTCTCTAATGCAGTCCAGCTCTATCATCACCTCAAGGAATCAGGCACCTACAGGGTACTCAAAGCCCAATTTCCACAACCTCTCAAAGTGTCACTCAGCAACTGGGCAGTCACAGACTAATTTTTCCATCCTCTCACAACCTAACTCCTCTATCCCAGAAAACAATCAGCAACTGAGTTCTCACAGACAAAATCCTCCATGCCCTCATGGAGCCAGTCAGGAACAGGACCCTCAGAACAGAATTTCACCCTCCTTTCAAGAAGCCAGTCTGCTGTGGGACTCACATTCTAATTCCCCAAGATGTCAGTCACTAACAGGACCCACAGAGCCTGATTTCCCCATCCTATAAAGTGGTCATCCTCACATACAGTCCAGTTCTCCATCCCCTCAAGAAGTCAATCAGCAAAGGGTTTTATCCCCAGTCTATCCCCAAAATTTGACTCCCACATCCCATAAAGCAGTCAGTCAGCAAGAGGGTCTTTATAGCCTGACTCCCTCATTCCTTCAAGAAGTCAGTCAGCAAAGAAGTCCTCATAATCTGGCTCTACCATTACCTCAAGGAGTCAGTCATCAACAGCACCACCATCACTGACCATAAGTCAGACAGCAACTGTGTATACATATCCCAATTCCTCACAGCGCAGCTCCTGTTCCCTCAAGAACTCAGTCAGTAATAGGACCCACACAGTTCAATTCCTCGCCCATTCAAGATGTCAGTCAGCAAGTGCTCCTTCATACCCAGTCCAGTGGTCCCCAACCTTTCAGGGTTGCCAGGCGCCCAGGGGCGGGGCCGCTCACACGCCGGGCGTCCGGGGACAGGGCCGCTCACATGCTGCGCGCGCGGGGCGGCACCGTGCATGTGCTGCGCGCCTGGGGTAGGGGCTGACTATGCGCCATGCGCCTGGAGCTGGCACCACGCATGTGCCACGCGCCCAGGGGTGGGACCAGTCCAGATCATTCCGCGGGCGCACATAAATGCCCCGGCAGGCGCCGTGGCACCTGCGGGCACCACGTTGGGGACCACTGCCCTAGTCCCATAATTTGATTCCCCTGTTTCATACAACAATCAGTCAGCAAAAGGAAAGGCCTCCACTGCCTGACTCCCCATCCTCTCAAGGAGTCAGTCAGGCCCCCGCAGTCCAGCTCCCTCATTCAAGGAGTCAGTCTGCAAAGGAGCTTCACAGTCCAGCTCTACCATTGCCTCAAGTCTGTCAGTAAGGGCAACACCACGGCCTATCTACCACTTCACCTCATTAAACCAGCCAACAACTGGATACTCGCAGAACAATTACCCTATTCCCTTAAGGAGTCAATCAGTAATGAGGCCCCTACAGCCCAATTCCTCCATCTCCTCAAAAAGTTACTCAGCTACAGGGCCTTCACAGCCCAGCTCTCCCATCACATCAAGGTCTCAGTCAGTAATGGGGCCTTCAGAAGCCAATTCCCCATCTTCTCAAGGAATCAATCAGCAACAGGACACTCCACTGTCCTGCTCTCCTGTCACCTCCAGGAGTCATTCAGCACTGCTGTTCTCATATCCCAATTCCCCCATTTCCTCAAGATGCCAGTCAGCAATGGTGCTTACAGACTGACTCCTTCATCTCCTTAAGGAGTCACTCAGGTGTAGCAAGCTTACAGCTTATTCAACTACAACATTAGGAGTCAGACAGCAATGGGGTCTCCGCATTCCAAATCCCCATCCCCTCAATAACTCATTCAGCCACACAGCTAGGTGACTCATCCCTTATTTAAAAAAAATGAAGAGACCTGAAGCATCTTAAAGACTAACAGATTTATTTGGGCATAAGCTTTCATGGGCAAAACCCACTTATGTTCAAATAAATCTGTTAATCTTTAAAGCACCTGAGGACTCCTCATTGTTTTTGCAGATACAGACTAACACAGCTACCCTCTGAGATCTTTATTTTAAGGGACTATTTTAAGGTCCTTATTGCCTTAGGGTGACCACCCATTCCTTATTTTAAGATGTATTGAAATGTACTAAAACTATAAGTACCATTTTAAATATTAAATTAATACTTCTGATAATTACATTGTATACCTGAGAACAGCAGAACTGTGCATTTGAGGAAAAAATATATATGCTATGCAAAGGGAAATGGTGTTTCCTTAAAATGCCTCTTAAAATAAAGCATTGTCCCTTATTTTTCATGTTTTTCCCTTAAATCCATCTGACAAAAGTGGTCACCCTAACAGGCCCTCACAGCCTGATTCCCTCAGTCCCTGAAGTCAGCTTACCTTAAGCCAAGCTGCTGCAGCATCTACACTGCAGGTGGCCAATGGGAGCACACAGAATGAGGAGTACAGGACACCAGCGGGAGCTGCCCTCAGAGTTCGATTTGGGGATCTGCATTAGACCCGCTAAACTGAATGCTAGAAGATCTCTGTAGTGTAGACGTGCACACTCCTTGCTGAATCTGTTCTGTGCACCCTCCCTAAAGTTTGTCTATTAATCTATGAGAGCCATTCCCAGTGACCAGCGCATCCATGGTGGCTCTGTCCCTTTCTGCTCTTAACTATTCATGATAGATTGTTGTTCTCAGCCCTAATACCTAGACTCCTGGTTTCATTATAGCATACTGCCATCTGCCTGTAAATGCCACCAGCCATGTGAATTGAGGTTTTAGTCTTTATTAAACGTAAATTTAAACAAATCAAGCAAGATAAATTGATGGCTGCAGGTTAAAAAGTTTAATTTTCATTATTAACCTTATTTTCAAATTTCAGGGGAAAAGTCAATGATTTGTCATAAAAGTTGATAGCTTCTCTTAAGTATTATTGGAATTTAAAACACTCTGCATATTAGAAGAGCTGATACAACGGATCCATCCTGATAGGTCATCCTACACTATGAAGGACTCATGTTCATTTTTAAATAATAACAGTTACACAAAATACAAGGTGGGATTCCAGTTGCTCTTCTCTGACACTAGGAGCTCCAACAGCAACTTTGAGGTTGCAGTGGTATGAGATATTTAAGCGTCAGCTAAAGGCCTTTTATATGGAAAATGACAAACAGCCATAATTGAAAATTGGAGCCAGTGTCCTTCTGACTAATCTAAGACTCAAGTGAAATGGGTGGCCAAACATGTGAGGAAAATGTTAAAAACTGAATCTTACATTTTCAAAAATGATGAATGATTTTTGGATGCCTCAGTTTTGAGCTGTCCAATTTGAGACATCTTTCAGGGACTTGATTTTCATAGAGGGAATGCTCAGTGCTTTTTTATTATCCTTTAAAGTATCTCCAGTTAAGCAGCTAAACACCAAGGCACCCAAAATTTAGGCCATGCTTTTTCTGGAGATAAGTTTAATTTTGGAATCTGGATTGAAAGATGGATGAGGTTAGAAATCAGGGGAATTTGCTTTAACCCTAAAAACTGAAGATCAGACTCTCCTCTCTCTTATTCAGAGGCAAATATGGAGTCTTTACTGGATTCATATCAATGTACCTGAGAGCTAAATTTGCCTCAAGGGCCCTATTTGTAAGTGTACAGCTCTACGCAGGCACTGCTATACCAAAAGTGATCCAGAGAGGGAGCCATTATACTAAACTCACCTTGAAGCAGGATGCAGCTGTCTGAGACTACTCCAATAGAAATGTATTATGTATGTAACCATCCCCCTTGTGCATGGGTTGTGTATACGTCATGCTTGTCTCAGCTAGAAACATGGAGAAATGTGATCCCTCATAGGGGAAATGGGAATAGAAAAGGCAGTCAGGCAGGCTAGCAGAGATCCCCAAATCTAACTGGAAAACACATTGGCAGAAAAGCAATTGTAGATAGTGATGCTGCTGACACATTTAATAAGCAGATATAATCAAAGCCCAAAGACGACAATCTGGCCATTATAATGGCCCTACAGGCCTTAGTCAGCAATCTCACTAAGTCTCATTAATTCCTAAGTATACCAGCATACTGTGCTAGGTCTCAGATCCCCAATGAAAAGATCAAATGACATTATCTGATACAATATAATGTGGTGCTGGGAAAGTTGTCCTGGAAACTGATGCTCTCTGGGATGGACAGAACAGAGACAGTTTGGGAAGGAACGGAGCTCCTGTACC